TTATTGAAATACTATGTCTTGAGTAAGGTGCATCTTGGTTCTCAAACTGTTATCTTTGCTCTTGAACACTTTAAAGAGGTCTGTGTAGCAGATTTGACTAATCCAATACATCATTTGATTTCTTGACTGCTGTGTCCTCGAGCAATAAAATGAATTTTTGACTCTTTCAATATTTTCTACATTTATAATGTATTTATTGGTCCAACTGTGAGGATCCTTGCTTTCTTTACATTGAAGTGCAATCCATACTGAAAGCTGTGGTGTGGTCTTTTGTCTTAATCAGTAGGTATTTTAACTCCTCTTAAATATAAGAAAAAATTGCTTTCTAGCAAGTAAAGGTATATCATCTGCAAATCATAGGTTGTTAATGAATCTTCCTCTAATCCTGATGTCACGTTCTTCTTCATACAATCCATCTTCTGAGGTTATTTGCTCAGCATACAGACTGAATAAGCATGGTGAGAGAATACAATATCGGCACACACCTTTCCTAATTTTAAACCATTCACTGTCCCCTTGTTCTGTTCTGACAACTGCTTCTTGGTCTATGTACAGGTTCCTCATTAACACAATGAAGTACCCTGGATTACCCATGCTTCACAATTGTTATCCATAGTCTGTCATTATCCACACAGTCGAAAATCTTTGCTAAGTTAATAAAGCACAAGTAAGCATGTCTGGTATTCTCTGCTTTCAGTCAAGATCCATCTGACATCAGCAATGATATCCATAATTTCACACCCTTTTCTGAATACAAATAGAGCCCCTGTTAGTTCTCTGTCAATGTGTTGTTGCAACTATATTTGAATTGTCTTCAGCAAAATTTTACTTTCATCTACTATTAATGTTACTTCATTTTTTACAACTTCTAAATTTCTTAGATTCATACTTCATACAGTCCATATTCTAATATGGTTTGCACGTTGTGTTGTTGTAAGCTAAGCCACCGGCGTTTTAAATACCAGCAGGGTCACCCGTGATGGACAGGTTTCAGTGGACTTTCCAGACTAAGACAGACTAGGGAGAAGGAGAGGCAGACTTTTCCTGAATGTTTAGCCATGGAAAACCTTATGAACAGCAATGGACCAGTTTCAAGTATAGTACTAGCGAATTAAAGCATTATAAATAGCGGCAGAGTCTTGTCAGATATGAGACTCTCAAGTTGGAAGGCACTCAAAACATGGCTGGGGAAGAGCTACATCTTCAAAGTAGAGTTGACCATAATGATGTGAAGGGAATGAAGCCGTCAGAAGTTCATTTGCAGTTTGGACACAACTCAAAATCAATGCAAGCATCCATTAATAATTCAAAGCATGTATTGTTTAAGTGCTGGTATGGAGTCCTGGTGTGGTGCTGAGGGTTAATGCGCTGGACTACAAGGTTGGTTTTAACCTCCAGGTCAGCAGTTGAAGTTCACCAGCTACTCCGTGAAAACCCTATACAGGGTGGCTATGGATCGGAACTGACTCCAACATACAAAAGTAAAATCAAACAAATCATTTCCACAAAACTATGTGGAAGAATAGGAAACCATTCCACAAATACACACAGGAGGTCTTCGGAGAGACAGGCCTCATTTCTACTGTGAGTTCTAGACAGGTTACAGATGAATAATGCATTGGTTTTAGTGAACCTGGAACGCAGACTAAGAAGGACAATTTCCCGGAACTGCAGAGAGAACTGGAATCATTCTAGATTGGTATCTGGGACCTAAAGTCATAAGACAAACCCTTCAGGCTAAGTTTTAAGGCAGCAGATGCACACTAACTAGAGGTGTGATAGATAAGGTCTTGTGTCTACTTGGCTGGTCCAGAATTCTCGGTGATTTGGCAGCTGAGATGTGGTTATCTCCAAGGTGAGATCTAATAGAGTGCAGTTAACTCAATGATGAGTGCCTGTCAGCAGCCAATCAATTGAAAGGGGGTGTGGCCTGCTTCTAATATAATGGACATTCAGTTAAAGCAGTAGCGTAGTGGTTATGAATTGGGCTACTAACCTCAGGGTCAGCAGTTCAAAACTACCAGCTGCTCCGCAGGAGAAAGATGAGGCTTTCTGCTCCCGTAAAGATTTATAGCCTCAGAAACCCTGTACAGGGTCACTATGAGTTGGAACTGACCCCATGGCACATAACAACAACAACAGGTAAAGCTTGCTTGCTTTCGCCCACCTCCCCGAGAGATACAAGCTATAACCTACTCTCAACACAGGTGATGGAACACTGGGACCATATAATGGTATATATGCCCACTTCTCTGAGAGACACAAGACGTGACTTACCCCCACCACAGGTGACGGAACACTGGGACCGGACGATGGCCCATGAGTAGCGGGGCTGTGGACTCAGCTTCCTCTCCCCCCTCCATCTCGACATGGCATATTCCCAGATAACACCCGGGTTTCTGCCCTGACATAGAAGCTGTAAAAAAAAGGAGGAAAACAAACAAACAAACAAATGATAGTGAAATCATTCTGTATTCAGTTGTTTGAAACTACTTAAAACAATGTTTTCAACAACAATTTAGCCATGATGATAAAGAAAACACTTGCCAGTTTATCTTGCCAAAATGCATAATTCCTAAGATGTTTCCTAAGAAAGCACTCTCATCTAGAATCAAGTACACAGAAAAAAAAAAAAATACACTGATATTCTACCTTTTTCTCCCGTGTTTCGTTTCCTCCTCCACGCAAAACTTAAGAAGCCTTTGCAACCCAACCAGAGTGAACAGACAATGCCCACAGAAAGGAGAGCCCACCTCTCAGGGTCACAGAACTTCTAAGAGAGCAGCAGAGTCTGCAAAAACTGATGGCGGGGTGGACCCCAAAACACGCCGGTGCAGCAGCAGTAAGTGTGTGACCAGGAGCTCAGCTTTGCCGCAACAAAGGCATGCCAACGAATCAGTCTATTGCCTCTTTCCAGGAGCCCTGGAGGAATGATCTCAACAGCAACTGGTTTGGGAATATTGGGCTAATCTCAAATAATCAAATTATCCTGAAAAGAGCCTTAAGTTAGGGACCCGTTCCAAAGGTGACTGGGTGACCTTTGAACCCACCCAGTGGTACGATATAAGAAAAGGGCTGGATCTGATTTCATAAAGATGACAGCACATTAGTACTCTGTAACACACAGGGTTGTGGTGAGTCAGAATGCACGTGTGTACCAGATGGCAACTGTGTGAGCATTACCCCATTCAGTTTATGGATGGATTTGTACTTATACATGATCAGGTTATAAACAGCCTTCTGTGGCCTTAGAGTTAAACTCACATTTATGGATCTACATAAACACCACAACATGCCCCCAACCCATGCCCTAAAACCAAAATAAGGGGCTACCTCAACAACCAAGGTTTCGTTGGTCGGCCCAGCTGAGGTCAGACTCTCCGGCTGGTTATAGGGCCGTCTGTAGTTGAAAGCAGTGCCGGCAAACTTGTATCGGCCTGGCCAGTCCACTGTCCAGTGTCCATTCAGGTAATATCTTTTGAGGGAATTACGTATAGAAATGTAGGAAGTAGATGCATTCATTTCATAGATGCGGATAGTCTGGGCTCCGGCAGGAATTGTAATCATCTGATAATACTCTGTATTAGAGGAAACAGGGGAACATGGCACTTTGTCCAGTGATGGCAAAGCAAAAGTCCTTAGCAGGTTAGATTCCCCATCTAAAACCTGATACTCTACAACTGGTACCAGAAGATCTGTTTTGAGCATCAGTCGTGTTAGTTTTGTAAGTCAGTTTTTTATTGGAGAAGACCTGTTATAAGAATGAATGTAAGGAGCTCTGGTAGC